CTTCCAGGTGCAGTTGACACGCTTTGTGCAAGTCGGTCTCATGGCGGATCCCAACAGAAGATCCACTAGTATCTCTAAGCACCTGGAAGGACCACGCAGTTCTCCTTCCTGAAAAAGAAACAGTCTAGGGTCTGCAGCTGATCAGAGAGCGTTCGTTAGGTGAACACAAAGGTGGTTAAAGTACTCATTTAGAGAAACCATTCATGTAAGGTTTTAAACTATTTTTTAACGGAGTTTATTATACAAATACATAAACACATTTCATGAAAATAGTTTCACACTAAGTCTCCACCAACCTCTTCTTCTGAAAAATGTGAATTTTAGTTTCACATCTGCACCAGGCCTCAACTTCCCCCACCTTCCCCTCCAGCCAGCCTGTTACTTCACTGAATAAATACCTTTAGGGAGATACAATCCATGCAGGTGGAAAGCACAAGTAACCTGTTTTTCCAAGAGTTTGTATCACTCTCTGGTGATTTTTAGCATATTTCTGTCTCGATAAAATAAAAATAAAGAGCATATACCTCTTAGAATGAAAAGAATTAGTGAGGTAATACATATAAAGCACTGGGAACCTTACGTTGCCAACGCGTGAGTACTAGCTTAAATTGTTTTAACACGTAGCATTTAATTTTAATGCCTTTTGTCATTCTACCACATTTGTCTACTGCTGAAGAGAAGAACTCCTTCCCCTCACTGGAGTAAATTCCAGTCTCACCTCGGTTCTCTTCAGGCCAAATGTCCCAACCTCGGTTCTCTTCGGGCCAAATGTCCCAACCTGTTGCATGCTTTCCAAATTGTCAAGTTGACTAAAATGCAACCTTCTGCCTCTTTTCCCAGCCCCCATCTCTGTACTTCAGTGTACCGCTGATGGTGTTTATCACATTCTAACAGGAAAGCTAAGCAAGCAAAGCTTCAAATCATTTACTTCCCCACTCCCCATAAATTCTCCCTCTCTTCTTTCCTTGCTTTATAAAAGGTCAAGAAAATTCACTGTAGTGATGTCACTCACTACCTTTCCTTTTCACCGCAGATTGATTATTTCAGGCAGACTGCCCTGATTCTCAAATGAAGGTATGAGTAGGTCTGGATGGACATGAGCTTTGAGTCTCCCCTTAATTCTTAACCCAGAAGTGTATCAGTTCAGCTATAAAGAATCTCACAGCTTGATCGCTACACATTTGTAGAGAACTACTTTTAAGTTATAACTACAGAATGAAACTGGATTTTTTACATAAATGTGCCCTGGTCAAAAAACCTATCATACGCAAAGGGTTTTAAGGGTAGATATCTCCCCAATGTGGTGGGATAATCCTAAATATTCCAAATCACTAGAGGCTCCCCCCATTGGCCCCCGATTTCCTAGGTCTTACTTAGTGCAGATAAGGAAGACTGTGGAACTTCCAATTATATCTTATCCCACCAAGCATCTTCCTGAAACAGCAGTCCCAGGCACGTGAACCAAGCATGCTTGCTCACTGGAGGGAGCATCTGCAGACTAACAGCCACCTCCCCAGCACTGTTCCCGAGTCTTTACATCTTAAGACTTAAAATTGCAAGCCACACAAAGGCTATAGCCGCAGACCAAACCAGCTGTCTTCTGTTTTTGTGCTTCTGCTAATTTTCTCATGTTGGCTGCGTAATCACCCAGGGAGCTTCGGAAAAACGATGCCTGGGCTCCAACAGATTTTGAAGTAATTGGTGTGTGTGTGTGGAGGGGTAAATGTGGGCCTGGATAAAGATTTTTTAACAACTCAGGTGATTTTAGAATAGACCATTTGCAAACTTGCCGCTGTACATGCAAAACCATTTTCACACCAACCCATTTGCTGTGCAATGAACTATCATTGTCCCTACTGCAAAGGCACATGATATGCCCAAGTCCTAATTCTCTGTACCTCAGAACATTAATTTACTTGGAAATAGGGTCATTAAAATGAGGTCATAAATGTAGGATGAGCCCCTAATCCAGTATGGCTGGTGGCCTTATTTAAAAAAAGCCATATAAAGGGACAGAGACACAAGCAGAACAAGCGAAGATAGAGTTCGAGAAGGGCGATAATGTATCAACAAGCCAAAGAACACCGAAGACTGAGCAAACCACCAGAAGGTAGATCAACACGGCGCAGTCTTCAGAAGGAACCAACCCTGCCAATACCGATTTTGAATTTCTAGCTTCCAGAAGTATCTCTGTTGCTTAAGCCACCCAGTTCATGGTACTTAGTTATGGCTGCCCTAGCAAGTCCAACCTGTTTCACCCGCATGTTACCTTTTAGTTTAGTTTTTGTTAACCCTCACCGGAGGATATTTTTTCCACTGCTTTTTAGAGAGTGGAAGAAGGGGGGGTGGGGGGAGAGAAACGTTGTGAGAGAGACATCGATTGATTGCCTCCCACACACGCTCTGATCTCAGCAGGAAATGAACCTGCAGCCCAGGTCTGTGCCCTTGACTGGGAATCCAACCCGAGACCCTTCGGTGCACAGGATGGTGCTCTGAGCACCGAGTCACACCGGCTAGAGCTCACCTTTTAGCTTTGACACAGGCATATCTCCCCTCCAGGACTTGGACGCTCTACCATCCCCTGCCTAGTTCTGTAATTTATCTCACTGCCTTTTCCCTCAAATTCCTAGAGTACATATTGAAAGAAAGTATGTGCTAGGGACTATTTAACACCAGAAGTAAAAGAAAAAAGAAAAAACAAAAACAGGCAGTTCTCACTCTCATGGAATTTATAGTCTAGTGGGGAAAGCAATCAAATGATCACCCAAATATAAACCCACAACTGTGCTTTGTGTAACAAGCTGTAATTATTGCAGTGACCTCCCAGGATTTACTCTTATTAAGGATGCTAAGCAGGAGTGACACTTAAGAGAAGGTCCAAGGAATGAGCCAGAATCAGCCAAAAGGGGAGTACTGGCTGAAGCACAGGGAACTGCCTACGCGGAGTCTGTGACTGGAAGGGGCGCGGCGCATCTTCACTTGGGTCGGCAGGCGATGTCAAGGTTTCATCATCATAGGCTTAAAAACAATCTTCACACAAATAAAATGGACATGTATCAAATATTTTATTCATCTCAGTAATTAGATAGGGATCCAGGCAAAGAGTAAAGTTGGTTCCAAGAAGAAAGACAAGCAGTTTATACAGATCATCAGGACTAAAAAATGTTAAAATAAGATTGCTTAGGTTAGATACAAAACTGGTTAATATTCCATAGGGAAAAAGAAAAACAAAACCTTTGGGGATATTTTCCCCCCACAAGATAATTCTTCAAGGTAACATGTAACATCACAGTGTATGGGTTCTCATCAAACGGTAAATAGCAAAGTCAAACGCAGGTACAATTTTGTGGAAAATTTAAGTAATCTTTCTGTGTTTGTTAGACAATGTCCTGGAGTGACACTGAAAGAACAGGCTACATTCTCTTTTGGTTTCTAAGTTGGGGAAATAGTCTTAATAGGTCAAGTTGCAGAGACAGGAGAAATTTGATGTAAGATGAGGGTAATTGTCTATAGTACCATACAGACAATTATTACAAATTTTTCACATTTCTCTCTCTATATAATTTTCCTCTCAGGACACAGGGAAGCAGTCTAAGAGCCATTGCTTTGAATTTTTAATCTTACTGTTCCAAGAAATGATCTCACTCACCTGATCCAACCCCCATTCTCAGATCAGGGCTACTTCCCCCCCATATCTTCTTGTGATTGGGTGTGAATTTGTGCAAATACATTTCCTAAAGCTACATCCTTACACACACACCAATTATCCATATACTTAGAAAGAAAACTTTGAGAATTCCTAATGGTCGATTAAAAATTTGTCCCCAAAACACAACTAAATAATCCTTTTATTTTGCCCATCCTGAAGAACAGAGATTTTATAACACAGGACGCCGACAGAGAAAAGCATAAATAATATGCTTCCTCCACTTCGTGTAGAAATTGGCTCACATTTTTAGGAAATGGGAATAAAATCAGACCACTGTCCCACCTGGTCATACATACGCAATAGGTTCCTATGCGACAGGATTCAAGACAGGGCTTGCTTTTTGATAGGATGATCCAGATTTAATTCCCTATCCTTGTTACTTCCTAGATACTTAACAGCTATGTAACTTTAAGAACATAAAAATCACCCCTGACCCTTAGTTTCTACATTTGAGTAATAAGAATAGTATGTACTCAGAGTTTGTTAAAAATATTAAGGGATATAAAGTAAGATAAAAGCTTTTCACATAAAAATATCCCTATAAATTTGCTATCACCTTCTTCTTAGGGTTGTATGAGCACCCCGACAAGGCTGTACAAAAATGTTTTTCAATGGATTGTCAATAGAGAAAGACGAGCATTACAAGACAATGCTGCTTATGTGTTTCAAAGCACTGAACTTTCAGGCTTCTTTTAAGACATCTAATATTCTTGTAAAAAGCAGACTTGAGAAAATAATTTTAAAATATTCACATTTTAGCAACGCCTCCTCCTCCCCCAGATAAATATTCAGGGAAATTAAGGTGTTCTCCATCTGCAAGGATAAACGTTGTCTCGATGCTGTCAGTAGTAGGATCCTCAACGTGACAGGTAACAGGATGTCTCCATTCCACTAGGATGATACCCTCAAATCTAAAGTCCTGATTATACCTAATTCTGTTTTCAGAAGTATCTCTAGAGTCTTAAGCCTAATGCTAAGGATTCCGGCCTGTATTTCTTATCTAATTTCCAAATCTTATGCTGCCTGTGCCTCTGTTGTTCTAATTAGTACGGGGGAGGGGGAGGAAGTCCTTCAGTTAAGACTCAGCTTAAGGGTAGCCTCTTACAGTAAATAGGTATGAAAAGCCCAATGGATGCAAAAGCTCTGGGGTATTGAGCTGGGTTCCAACTTAAGTACAAGAAACCTTTTATTAGAATACTTAATAAAATTCTTTAAAACAGTCATGCCCTTGACTTTCAAGCATCTTGTGGTTTTAGATTTCACACCAAGGAAGGCTGAGGCTACGGTAACATTACACGAAGAAAACGTCAGGGAGGCAGATGCTGAGAGAATCTGAATGTGTGCCCCCGTTTGGGTAACAAAGAGAAAATATGGGCTTCAGAGCTCCTTGGAAGCCAAGATGAGAGAAATTATAAATGAGGAGTTTCTTTGTCACATCATAGAATGCTATCTGCCCATACTTATAGTCTAGGAAAACTCCAACTCTGTGCATCTGCTCTCTCAAGGAGATCCTTTTTAAAGGAGGAAAGACCCAGAAGGTACATTCGGTTCCCATCATCGATCCCATGAGTAAGATTTTATCCCCAGACACTTTGGGCATGACTCTGCCGGCAGTGTCTTCATAGACGCCCACCTGCCATTTTGTTGCCTTTCCCACATCCACCTCCCAGTAATGCCTCCCCGAGGTGAAGCTCTCCACACCCAACACAGAAGCACTAAGATCAAATCTCCCTGCGTTGCCAGGTACATCCTGCTGGACATTTTTGAGGCTTACACTTCTCAGATCCTCAGATAAGACAAGACAGGAATGAGCTGTTTTGGGATCCAAAGTTATAGCTCCTGCAGAGAGAGAGAGATTTGGTTAATACAGGAGTTCATCAAAGTCGATGTCAGAGACTGACTATTTCTAACACACAGGGGCTTCCCAATGAGTGGGCACAAGTCCCAGAGATAGGCACAGGAGAGGAAACCTAGGAGAGTCCAGGAAAATAAACCTCTAAGCTATGTTTCAAAAAAGGACATCATAAGGAAAAATATTAACAAGATGATGGAAGGAGACGCAATGTATCTGCGGAGGGAGAACAAGAAAAATAATAATGGACTATGAAGAGGAACTTTACCAGGCTGTAAAAATGTCCTGGCATCCAGTCCTAGCCAGATACCACCTGGGACGCAACTCTAGTCCACTAAAGATCTTCTCCAAGCCAGGAACAGCCCGAGGCATTGGAGTCTCCTAATACAAGTCGATTCATGGCTCTTCCCTGTGACCGAATTGCTCTCCTCATCTTACGTGTCACCAGAGTGGGGCATGGATGCCTAGAAATTGCTGCCAGCAGGCCCTTGACAGTGAGTAAATCGAAAGAGAAGGTATTAGCAGAGGCTAGAAAACCTGTGAGGATCCTCCAGAAACATCGAGCTGAGAACAAGAAAGCTCAATATGGTTTCTTATACTTGAGTGAAAGCGAGACCTGCTTTCATCTCTCTCTGTTCCCTCTCTTCTCTCTCTCTGTTCAGACTCTAAATACAGTGATTCCTCACGGCTTGGTCCTGGTTCTTCCCTTTTCACCTCTTGTACTCCTTCCCCCATGCAACTTCATCTAGCCTGTTTTAAATACCTTCTGTATGTTCATGACTTACTCCATAAATTAGCTGCTTTTCAAACATACTACATCCAAAATGGAACTCCCGAACCTCTCCCTTTCCACGACCCACTTTTCAGTTAATAGCACACTTAATACTTTGGTTGCTTAAGCCATAAACCTGGAGTAGCTCTTTCTTACTTTCTTTAACATCTAATCCAGTAGCAGGATTTATGTCCAAATGAACTTAAACCCCAATTAATGTCATTATTAGGCTGGTCTTCAAAGCCACAAAGTCTTGAATTTTAAGTTTGGAGTTGCCCCAGGCTCTTAGTATTTCCAGAAGACTGGCAGAAACAAATGCAAATGCTTTCTGGAAGGATGCACACCTTTGCTCTTGGTCTTGAAGAATTTCTAAAATTAATATCTAAGGAAAAGAGAGAAGCTTATCTATTAAAAAAATCATAAAACACACTCACAAAGTATGGGATCATTACTGAGTGAGACTAACAGAAATAAATCTGAGGAACTCAAATATTAAAACTACTGGGCACAGGCTCTAAAGTAATTTTTGCTTACTATGCTTGAAGAAAAAAAAAAAAAAAGCTTAAAAATATCTACAGGATGTAAGAAACTGAAAAGGCCAAATGGGCTTGACAAAGAACCAAATAGATTATCTACAAATAAAAATAAAATGACTTAGCTAAAGTGTCAATGCACGATAACAAGAAAAAAAAGCTACAGATCAATATGCTTCATTAACATAAATACACAAATTCTTCCAAAAAGTTAGCACCTTAAATACAGCAATATATAAAATGACTAGAACGTTATTACCAAGAGTTTACCCTGGGAATACAAGGCTGGTTCAACATATGAAAGTAAATATAATTTATCATATTAACAGATGAAGAAAAGCCATTTGAATATTTTGGTAGATACAGAAAATGCATCTAATAAATTCGACATCCATTCATGATAAAAACGCTCTATCAAACCAGGAATAGAGGGGAACTTCCACAACTTGAAAGGTAACTGCGGAAAATATACCTGAAATCAAACTTAAAGGTGAAAGGCTTAAACTTTCTTTCTCCCTAAGATCGAAAACAAGGCAAATGTTTCTCACCACTTCTATTCAGCACCATTTTGGAGGTCCCAGCCAGTACAATAAGGTGAGAAAAATACAGAAAAGCTTACAGATTGAAAAGAAAGAAAACTGTCTGTGTTCACTGATTATCAGACTATCTGTGCAGAAAATTCCAAAGAATCCAGTAGATCTAATAAATGAGTTTAGCATAGTTATAAAATATAATTCAATATATACATGTCAATACTATTTCTTTATGTTAGCAATAAACTAAAACTAAATGAAATTTAAATTAGAAATTGATAGTTAATACCATTATAATAGCACTAAAAATAAAATACTTGGGGATCCATCTAATTAAATATACAGAATATTTGTTTGTTGAAAACTACAAAACACTGATAAGAGAAATCAAAGACCACCTCAATTAATGGCTATATTAATCTATACAGTCAACGTAATACCAATAAAAACCCCAGCCGTTTTTTGTAGAAGACAACAAGCTGTTTTTAAAATTTATGCAAAAAGCAAAGGATGCAGAGTAGACAGTTATTTTTTAAAGAACAAATCTAGAGAACTCACAATCCCAGTTTTATGACTTCTTATAATCAATGAAGCCAAGGTGGTATTAGCAAAAGGATAAACACAATGGTCAATGGTTTTGTTAGCATCCATACAGTCCCACTCACATATGCTAACTGATTTTCAACAAAGGTGCTAAGTAGAGTTAATGGAGGATAGTGTTTTCAGCAAATAATGCTAGAACAAATGGATATACGTATGTACAAAAAAATGAGGAGTTGTATCACATCTTGAATCATATACAAATATTAACTCTAAATGGGTAATAGACCTAAACATCAAAACTAAAACTGTAAAATTTCTAGTAGAAAATCTTTGTTGGGGTAAAAAAAAGGTTTCTTAAGATGCAAAAAGCACAAGTCATAAAAGAAAGAATAATTATAAAAGAAACTTCAAAATCTACAACTTCTCTTCGAAAGACACTATTAGGTAAATGAAAATATAAACCACAGAATAGGAGAAATCTTTGCAAAACACATATCTGATAAAGGACTGATAATCAGAATATATAAAGAAATCACAAAACTCAGTAAGAAAATATACAGCATAATTTTTAAACTTGGGAAAATGTTCATTGATATACTTCAAAAAAAGAGCAGTTAGTAAAGGGTAAGTAAACACATGAAAATGTTTGATATCGTTAGTCATTTCAGAAATGCAAAGTAAATCAAAGTGATATACTAGTATATACTCATTAGTTTAGTTCTAATAAAAAAATGATAAAGCAAATACTGGCGAGGATGTAGAGCAACTGAATCTCATACATTATTGATGGGAATGCAAAATGGCATATTCAACCAAAAGAAATGTAGTCATGGCCACACAAAAATCTATAACCAATTATTTACAGCATAAAGTTGGAAACAACTTAAGTGTCCATGGAACTGCGAACTGTTAAAATCGTGGTATATTCATACAATGGAACACCACACGACACCAAAAAGGAACAAACTACTGATACACGCAACGCACTAGGATGTGGCTCAAATGCACTACGCTAAGTGAAAAAAGCCACACTCAAAAGTCCACATCCAGTATGAATCCACTGACAGGACATTCAGGAAAAGACAGAGCTATGGAGGTAGGAGCTATACATCCTTCATTACACATACTGATATATTTCCCATAGAAGTTTAAAATTTTTAAATAGTGGAATCTGCCTGCAATTATGTTTTAAGATCATGCAATTATTTTGATAGTTATCTAATATGTGTAAGCATATTAAACTCTCTGATCTTTTATATCCTTAAACTATCTGGAATTTACTTTTATTTATGGTAGGATGTCATAACAGTTGTGTCAACTTACTTTGAAGCAGTTCCAGCACTTTGCTCATTCCTGGTATTTGGCATAAGTGCGGTTCTATGACTTGGGCGGGCTCTAGGCGCTGAAGCACTAGAGATCCAGCACTCCTATAAAGAAAGGACAATCTTGGTTATGTGGGAGACCCCAGGCCCTCCACCCAGAGGATGATCTCATTACATGACCTCCCTGTCCCTACCCCAACATCTCTACCCATGTGTGCTCACACATGACCTGAGGCTGATCCAAATCTTTCCAAAATGAAAACTTACCATTCCAAATATCGTGCATCCTACGGGGGGAAAAGGTGACAAAATTACAAGTGAGTATTTGAGCCAAGCGTTTTGTGAGTTATACCTATGAAAATATCTTCTAATAATGAAACTTGATTTCCATGTAATTTCTTCAGTTTCATGATGCTAATTCTGAGATATAAAATTTAACATTGAATAGGAAAGTCAGAAAAATGCTTGATGTTATTGTTATATTCCCAAGAGAAATATTTTCTAGACCTCACCTCAGTCATCTGACTCAGAACACTCATCATTCCAATTCAGCCCATCTATTTGCTTTCTATGCTGGGGGTGACAAGGGTGGAAAGTGTGAAGGGGCCTGCTAGGCCGGGGAGGATGGGCTGGAACCAGGTCATGACCTGAGCAAAATTGGGTCATACCTACCTGTGCTGTTTGGAACTAGCCCTGGCTCTAGAATGGAACCTGAGGGTTTATGTGAAGGGGCTTCTCAAATAAGAGCACCTACATGGCAAATGTGGGCCTGGCAGAGAGAGATGGATAGTCTTTAAAAGATAATTTACTTGTTGAAAAGGTAATGAAAGTTACTATACAAAATTAAAAATATACTATACAAATAAATATCACCCTTGTTTCCCAAGGTTACCACTGATTAAAATGTGTGTTTATTTTGCCAGGGGCATTCTGAATGTTAATGAGCATAGGTCTGTATGTATATACATATTCTCTAAAACAAAACAAAAAGCAGTTCTCCATCTTTTTTCACTTAACCAGATATCTTGAAGATCATTTTTTAGTGCCCAATTTTTTTTTTTTTTTTATGGTGACCGACATTCTATTGTATAGATGTATCATAATTTGACTAACCAATTATTCACATATTAAGGGACATCTCAATTCAAGGGGATAATTCATATCATGAAGTAGATCTATACTATACTATACTATACTATACTATACTATACTATACTATACTATACTATACTATACTATAATGATTTTACGACGATTCATAATGCTTTTGGTGACTGGAAAATAGCTAGATAACCTTCATGAAGGGTTGAAAATCACTGGACATTGTGATGTGGAGAGAACCCCTAATGAGTACAGCCTACTTCTCATTTCTCAAACACTATAATGAAGGTTGTTTCTAGACTCTTACCTTGAGCAATGCTAAGGGGGATTCCCCACACTTCTTCTCTAGGTCTGCGGTGATCCTGTGGAGGCTCCAGATCTGTTCATAGAGCCTGAATTCACTCTCATGTAGTTTATTCATGTTCTCTCTCCCCAGGCAGTTCAGTCTCTGCAGAAACATCTCCTAATTACTATTCAACAACCAGTAATTTCTCTTATTTGCTAACTCAATAATCTTTTTAAAAACCCACTTTACCACCTGTCACCCCAGTAATAAATATAATTAGGTAAGGAAAGGACACCCCTGTGGAAAGCAGGACGCCTATACAGAAACTTCATTCTTTGACATAATACATTTATGGTACATGGATGGTGTGCCTGTAGTCCACTTTTTCTGATAACAACCTGGACCTATAAACAGATCATTTTTTACTGTGCAGTTTTGTTCAGAAAATATCCTATTTCCTTCAAATGAAAATTAAGATTTGAATAAAGAATTAAATATCAATTATATTTAATCAAGCAACTGATATCAGTTTCCTTATTCTGATGTTCCATGTAGGCACAAAGCACATGTTCATGTTATTTTTCCTTAAAGAACACAAATAATGGAATATTATACTGTATTGCTAATCTGACTTGCTTTTGCCTTATTAAATATGTTCTTGGAGAACATTCCTTATACATACACATAGAGAGACATGCTATCTTTTCTAAATGCTAAAGAGCATTCCATTTTATGTACATACATTTATTTCATAAGTCCAATATTGATATAGGTTGCATCTAATCTCTTGCTATCAATAAGTGTTATAGTAGTAATAATAGCTACTACTTATCCAGTGCACAAAATGCACAAACACTATTTTAAAAGCTTATGTAAGCTGTCACACTCAATCCTCACATCAGTATTGTGAACCAGGGGCCACTAGTATCCCTACTTTACAGCGAGAAAAAAAAAAACAAGTCAGAGGTTCACTAACAAGTCCAAGGCCATATAGGGGCTTGTAAATAGCAGACCCCAGATGGGAACCTCATCAACCCAACTTCAAAGGCTACCTCTAAATCAGGCTCTAGACTGAAATAATTTTACAGCCTTTCCTTATCCATGTGTCTTTTTATATGCATGTAAGTATATTTGTGTTAAATCCTCAGAAATAGAATTGCTGGGGTGAATATATACAACCTTTTCACACATATGTTGCTGTCTTTGGATGTCTAATTCTGGAACTGACATGTTAAGCTCTTCTGTCTTGCCATTTCCCAAATATTGTAAGGATGCCATTTTCAACATCTCACCTGTAGTGTTTCCTGGTACCTCTCCTCTAGCTCTGCGGCAAATATTATCATTTGAGTCAGATTGGCTTCTCTCAAGCTTGGGTTGAGTATGTACCCTTGCAGGTTCTGGAAGTTCATCTCATTCTCTTCAGTCACCAACCGGAACATCATCTTATATTCAGACTTAATCACCTCTTTAAAATTCTGCTCCTCTCCCTTCATCACAAATACAGATATGGTGGACTTCAGGTTAAACACCACAGATTGACCATAAATCTTTTCCATCTCTAACTTCAATATAAAGGCAAGGAAATATAAAGTATGAGGGAAGAAACAAAAGGGCAAAATACAAAAGACAAAGGAAACTTTAGAGTCAAGATCAACCAAGATATCAACGCAAACCTAGGACATGAAATGCAGAGAAGGAATGTTAACTGACTTTGAGAACTGACCAAAGAGAAGGAAACCAGAGAAACTGGAAGGAATTGCCAACGACATTTGAATGAGGGACATAAGAGAAATTTGTGAGCTACTCCAAGATTTTTAGACTTAAGCAGCTGGAAGAACGGAGTTGCCAAAACACAGAAAGGGAAACTATAGGAGGGATAGATTCCTGAGGCTGGGAATGAGGAGCTCGGTTTTGGATATGCTGATTTTGATTAGTCAATTCGCCATCCAAGGAGAGATGCCAAGTAGGAAGGTGAACAAGGAAGCCTATTATTTGGAAGGCTGGGTAGAGATGAACACTGGGAGAAGTCAGCTCAGTGATATTTAATCTCAAGACACTTGATGGAATCAGTATTTATCAAGACCCTGACCACTTACCCCCTCTACCACTACCCGCCAGGTCACCATCACTTCGCCCTGATTATTTCAACAGTCCCTTTGACATCTCCACCCCTGCTCTCACCCTCCTACAGTCTATTCTCACTTCAGCAGTGAGAGGTATTCTGTGAAAATGAAAGTTAGATCATGTTAGTCCTCCGCTCAACACTTTCCAGTGGCTTCCTTTTTTCATTTAAAGTCAACTGCCCTGGATGATTTGGTCCCTTTATCTCCTTTACACAGCCCCAACCAAGTAAACACCAATCTCTAGACCTTTGTACTTGTCCTTCCCTCTGCCTAGAATATTCTTCTCAAGACTGCATGGCTCAATTCCTTACTTCCTTGAGTCTTCCCAAATGCTACTTTCTGAGTATCAAGGTACTGATCACTCTCTAAAACTGCATCCTCTCACTCCTGCTTTTCAAAAAAAAAAAAAAAA